CCTCCTCCTCCTCCTCCTCCTCCGTGCCAGGCAGCCACACGAGAGGCGTTCCCCTGAACGACCACAACGGTTAGCGTTTCTTTCCTGGCTTTGCAACAGAAACAGACCAAGCGGATTAAACGTCTTAAACTCCCGTAAGGAAACGGGCGCCACTTACCCCAGGAACGGAGAAACGAGCTGCACGAGCTCAGCCCGGGAGATCACCTCCTGGTTGAAAATCACCAGGCAGCGAAGGAAGTTTTCGTATGCTTCGGTGCTACGCAGAGCTTTGCGGACCTTAGAGAGAGGGGAAGACAAGAGGAACACAGTCGCTGTCAGGGCGAGATCAAGCCGCGTACGCTATCCGCTGTCCAGGAGACCTGGATTCAATGCTCTGCTTCCCAGCGGTGCACGGAGATTACGGGGAGAATGAGAACGCAAATCTTTAAGTGAGCTGAACAGAGGGGAACTTGCCCCCCCCACAGGGACAGACAAATGGATACCGACGTGAGCCATCTCCGTGCTGGGTATCGCCCCGCACCGCCGGCGCCCGCTGTGTTACCCTGAAGAAAGGAGTCGCAAGTGAAGAACGAAATCCCTCAAAGAACCCCCTAACAGCTGGATTACGAAACGCTGGAATGGTGGACAAGGCCAGGCGTAACCGCAGCGCCGCACACCCACCCAGGTCACCCTTAAACATCAAAGAATATTGCAAATAGGGTGCAGGGGCAAGAGAGCTGAGCCCTGGGTTATTCACACCACTCCAGCTCCTGTAACCTGTATCTTCACAGCAGGAGGAAACCAAACGATGCATCCCAACACCATTACCTTTCCCACGAGAACAGTTAGCATCTAGGCATCAGGCGGAGGATCCATCATCATTGAGACGCTCGTCATTACGGTTATAATTCTACAGCAGGGATTTCTAGTTTTTACTCGTGTTAACGCCTACGCATCCTCCCAGCAATAGATTGGTTCCCAGTTCCTCTAACATTTCTAACACCACTAGCTGGTCTACGGCACGCTGCAAAACGCACCGCGCCATCAGGGAGCAACCAAGACTTTCATCGACACATGAATATTACTTTAAAGGCTCGTTTATGTTCACTATATACTCCCCTCTGAGCCGTAAGGAAATGTATGGACATCTTAGGGAAGACACCAAGGTACCACTTGGAAGCATCCCACATATCCTTCGTTTGTTCTGTGTGGTTAACCAGCAACAGGTAACAACCGTTCAATTAATTAGATTCATCTCTCGGGGCAGGGGGGGGGGGGGGGGGGGGGGAAGAGAAAAGAAAAAAAAGAAACCAAAAAAACCCCCAATGTCGACATGAATCAGCTGTTCGATAAATGGAGCTCCCCCGCGGCAGGCAGCTGGTTGCGGATGGGTACAGCAAGCTGTGCCAACACAGCAAGACACGCCACGCACATCAGCGGTTGTATGGGGATTTCGTAAAGGTGAGGAAAAAAAAAAAAAAAAAAAAAGGTAAACGCCTTGTAGGGAAGAGACCTAGTCTTTCTTGAGTTCTTCCTGGCAGAACACATTGCAGTATCTCATAAGAATGAATAGGCATGCCCTTGCTTCTTAGTTGCCCTTAACAGTGGAGGGGAGATGATGAGTTCAACTCCTTTCTTTGGATCCTGTGCAATGTTACGTGTCAAAAGGCTGGGATGGCAAAGGATACTAGAAATTTGGAGCGTGGCATTACAGGGAAAAAAAGAATTCCCTTTTCTGCAAATAAACTGCATCAGCAGCAGGTGAAAAGCTGGAGAACAACCTTTGGGGGAAAGACACAGACATCCACGTAAAAAAAGACCAGCAATGTTTAAAAAAAAAATAAAATAATTCAATGGATCTGACTTAGAGGTCACACGATACAACTGAGGTCACGCTGATAAATGTTATCAGGTGGTATATACACCCCATACTTCACTGTGATAAAAATCCGAATGTACACACGGTAAGAATACAAATCGCTGAGGCCAGACGGCTTTCTCCGAACCTCGCTTCTCACCTTCTCAAAGAAGAGAGACTCTGTCCCCACGCCATGTTTGCTGGCTTCCGCCAAAGACTGGTCTTTTAAACCAAGCAGCTTCGGTTTCTTCTGTTCACAAAAGAAAGAAAGGCAAAGAAAAAAAAGGGCTGTTCAGCAGAGCGACTTGCCATATTTTGATTATCTGTCACCCACCGGTTTTCCCCTCCCAACCCCACCATTTGCTTCCAAATAAAAGAAAGGTGGCTTTTTTTTTTTGGAAGGAAACTTGCGGGAAAGCAGCTTAATCCGTTAATGGGTAGCACCGAACTCCAAATATTTTTAATACACTGTTGCATCCTTTTCTGTAACTAGTCGATTGAAACAGTTGCTGCTTGTAGCATATCTGATTTTTCTAACTAGTTTTCAAAGTTAGCAAAATAAATTGGGGTTTTTTTCCTATCTCTCACCCAGTTCTTCAAGTCTTACACCTCCCGAAAATTAGCGCATTTCTTTTGCTCTCTTGCAGTCCACTGCAAGAGCATTTATTTTCCCCGTACCAGTGCTGCACCCCAAACCCTCAGAAAGGCTGAAAGTTGCCTCCAAAACGCGTTTTATTTTGCCGCCCTTTATTTGAAGGGGAGGAGAGGGTGCAGAAGGGGAAGCAAATAACTGGATTTAAACGATACGATTATGCGCGCTAAAGCTTTTCATCACAAAGCAAGATACACCACCTGCAAAAAAAAAAAAAAAGCAGGCAAACTTGTCCTTTACGCCCAAACGCTAAACCACCTGCCCACGAGACCATTTTTATTGCGCTACGAGGTCTCTCTTTCTCGAAACGCACGTCGTTTGAAAAGGGGAGACTCTGCTATGAGAAGAATCATTCATCATTGCATTATACGGTTTATCATAGGAAAGATGAGCAAAGGCGATTCCGCGGCATCGGCTCCGAGTTCTACTACAACAAAGCTTTCAAGGCAGACTGTTATCTTTCCCTCGGCTTATCTTCCCACCTGCCTTAGAAACATCACTACAAATTTTGGACAAATCTATTCTGCGATTTTACCGAGACACTGACCTCCACGCCCCACATCACCGAACACTGATTTATTGACCGACACAACTACCCCCACGCATTCTGCAGCACCCTAATAAAGCGGGGAAAGCCCTATTTTTTCCCAAGCCAGTAATTATTACTACCCTCAGCTACAGATAACACCACCAGTTGGTGAAAACGAGAGACAAAGCCTTGCGCTTATACAAAAAAGGGCTTCAAAAAGTTTCTTTTAACGGCAAGCATTAGTTTCCGTGCTCTCAAGCTGCAGCCTGCGCCGCCGAGAAAAATCGCACGGACTTATAAAACGCATCCCGCTCCGCCACAGCCTCCTGGGGAAAAAAAAACCCAAAAAACCAACCCAGAGCTGCAGAATGAGTGGCACACGCTCTTACCTTCACCGGAGGGGTGGCTCCAGTTCCCGAGTGCCGTCGGATCTGACAGCCATTCTGGTTGGGTCTTTGCTGTTTGTTGTTGAGCTGTGGCTTCTTCACCGTGCCACCGTGATCATTTCTTACCGATTCCACTTTCTCTGCAGTTGTCTTACTTAACAGCTTATTTAGAGACAAACCCATAAGACCATTAGAGCCGAGTTCCACACATCCAGGCAAAAAAAACCCACGCCTGCTCCTCCTAGCTCTGGGTGACCACTGTATTCTACTGCAGTTATTGCGGGCTTAGAACCACCCTTTTAGGCAAAGGGATTGTATTTAAAAGACAAGTTACGGCCAGAAAACACATCTATCGCCCTGAGCCCACTCCCACACTCAGGAAAAGATCACTCCAAAAAAACCAAGCCAAGAAACAAACAGCAAAAGCACGTTTTTCTGAACTCTGGCTAGACACAGAAACAGCTTTCCGCGAGGTAGTTCAGTTCCAGTCTATCTCCAAGACGACTCACCACAGAGCTGTTGGCATCGGGCAGGAACTGCCCGAACTCCGAGAGCAGATCCTCCTGGTTCTTGAAGAGACGAGCCACCTGCGCGTACACCTCCTGCTCCGTCAAAGCCGGCGTGTAGTTACCTCCTGCCTCCTTGGCGTTACGCTGCTCTTTCTGTCATAGGAAAGAGGAGAAGCGTCAGAAGAAAGGACGCAGGAACTATTTAAGTGACGAAAGGGGAAGGAAAAAAAAAAAAGAGAATGAAACAGCACAGGTCTCAGCATCTCAATTAAGGACTCATGCTAAATGCCCAGCCAGCCCCGGACTAGTAGGGTGCTGATCAAGGAAGAGGTTTCTTTACTTTTAACATAGTACTATGGGCACGTTGTCTCTTCCTGATCCATGCTCATGGAAAAACACCAAATAGGATTCTAAAAAAGGCATTTCAGACGCTTGCAAAATAAAGAGGATGGGCTGAAATCTATCATTTCATGCTGCTCCGCCATCTCTTTGTTTGCAAGAGCTCTGCTTAGCTCGCTGGTCAACGCTAATCCAGCAGAAGACTTGAACGCAAGTCTTGGAGAGGCGCGGTTAGCTCCCACGGCAAAGAAAGAGAAAGAACCATAGATGCACTCCAACCTGCACTGTTAACACTCACCTGGTACGTATGGAGGATCTCCAGGAAGGCTTTGTAGATGTCCGGCTGTCCCTGGAACCGATTCTTGATCTTGTTGACGTAGTTGATGGCATGATTAAACTCAACGGGCTGATTGTTCTGCAGGGCTGGTGTGGTTCCCAGGGAGATTGTCACAGGCGTGTGAGGTTGGACCGGTGGCGAGCGCGGCGATGCGTACGGTGGAATCGGGGGAGTTTGCTGGCTGGCAGGAGTATGTGCCTGCAACTGGGATGGCTAAGGAGAAAAGAAGCCGTGTTAGAAATCAGCAGATTCCTTTACGTCTGGAATGAAGGCACTTTTATTCCACTTGCGGACCATATCCGTAGGAGTCAACCCAGCATGTAACTGTAGCTGATGCCAACGGTGGAACAACATGGATTCAACAGAGCTGGAATATCACAGATGGACCGTATCTCCTGCTATCACATCCAGGTAAAAAACTTCTTCCCATTTACTGGCCCTGAATGACTTTTGCTGCCCTTCCTTAAAAAAATGGCCTTTTTAAATTGCTACCAAACAACTATTCCCTCTACAGGTCTAGGGAATTTTAACATCATCTTTCCTAAACTGAACATTTCCTACTGGCTGCCTAAGCAGAAACTGCTGTTAAGAGCCAAAATTAAGACGTTACATTTCGCAGTCAGAGTTGGGATTTAAAGATTAATTTAAAGATTAAACAGAAGCACAGACCAAGCAGAAGAAAACTATCCGAAGCAAATGAAGAGCTAAATATTTAGCGGGTCAGGAGAGACTACACACTTCATGGGGAAGACAAAAATCCCGGCCCATTCAAGCTGCTGTTATTAACAGTCGATTTTCCTTGCTAATTGCTTTTGACTGAAGTCTGACAAGAGGCACAAAAAAAATTTCACAAAGCCGAAATGCATGGGTATGGCCTGCCTTGCTCCAACACTGCAAGTTACGCTGCCCCTAGTGAAGAATTCTGGGATGCATAAAGGCAACAGCAAGGGAAAGCTGGAATTTCTTTCAATATTGAGGCAAAGAACAGGCAGATAAGGCGCTCAGAGTAATTATCTTAAATACTCTTAATAGATACCTAACAGCCACAGGAAAATTTAGCAGCAGTTTTGAGGTGGTAATTTTAAATGCAAATGGAAGAACTCATCCCTGTCACCTTCCAAGCGTGTATTACGCAGAGTTTTCACTGCTGACAGTCTTCGGATAGCCAGAAGCATCCTGTTCCAAGATCCTGCCTTTCCTTACCCGCCCGGTAAGGAAATCTCACCTCAATATGTGGCGTGTCCCTCAGGTTCATTTTAAAGCTTCAGCAAAAAATATAGTTCAGCTCTTTGCAGGATGATGACACGGGGAGAAAACCACTCAGCCCACAGGGACGAGAAAGAGAGGGCCACCTCTTCACCGAAAGCGAGTACTACTACTTTGGGAAAAAAAGCTTTGACATCTGGCACAGGTAAGTGAATTCTGGAATGTCTCAGCTTTGCCGTGTTCACCTTTGCAAATCTCCTAGCACGTTTTCCTTTTGTGAACAGGAGGATTCGAGTCCCACCAGTCTTTTGTCTAGAGACCATCTAATCGCCACAGATCATCTCATTGCCACGTTTGAAATCCTGCAGCTTTCGAACTGCATATCCGCCTGTTAGCTAATTGTACAGTTTTAGAGATTAACCCTTGAAACTTTGTGGATTCTTTCCCCCCCGCTAAGGCTCTCAAGTCTTCCCACATTTTGAGGCTGAAATACGTGATATTTTATCTAGAGTCAGCTCCTTGAATGCCTATTATCCCCTCCTGTTTCCAATCACATAAAATACATCTGTTGGACAGTAGACTCTGGATTACATCTTAAACAGAGTCAAATTCCCTTTTTTATTGGAATGTCACAGTTTCAGGGGCACAAACCGATACCTAAAGGCAACACCACGGTCGTCTTGCCTGAACTCTTGCGCTTTAGATTCCGCCAATAGCTCCCGCACCCATCCAGCTGATGGCCGAAGGAGACTCTTT